ATTTATTTATTTATTATGAAAATGGGTGAAGACTAAAAGGAAAAAACGGAGGAGTCACATTTGAATACACCCCGTGAAGAACTTATGAGACTCCATTTTAACATCTGTAATGGAGAAAAAAACCCGGCAGGCTCCAAGTAAAAAAGTGGATGGAGAGAATGGTTTACCCTTCTGTTAGACTGAGGTTCTCCTCCACCTCCTCCCTCTTCACCTTTTGTTCATCTTCCTCCTCCTCCTCCTCCTCCTCCTCCTCCTCCTTCTTCTTCTTCTTCTTCTTCTTCTTCTTCTTCTTCCCCATCTCCTTTTTCCTTCTCCCTCCCCCCGTGCTCCTCCTCCCCGAAACCAACCTCCCCAGTTTCAAACCCACCACCCACCCTCTTGTCTTCTGTTTATCCTATCAAGCAAGAATGGATTACCCCCTTTCTTTGCCACAGTGGTCCGAACCCGCCACGAAGGAAGTCTGTCTCGCGCAACGCGCAAAGTGAGAACTGGATTCAGCCCCCCCTCACGTCCAATCTGTGCATATGCACCAACTGGCTTTTTCAATAACAAACTTCGAATTCCAAAACAATTGATTCGTTAACGATGCTTGTTTTAAGATGTCTACTGCTTGCGGTCACCTTTGCTGGTCATTCACGACTGACCAATGCCTCCATTTTCACATCGATAAATCGTATAAAGCATATGGTACTGTCCGAGAAATCGATTCTGCATAAGCTTCAACGTGGCTTAGGAAAACTAGACAACGGTCCAAAAGGATCTATCTTTCAAAGGTGGGTCTAGAATTTTTGCATTAATTATTGGAAGTATTTTTTTTTCTGTCTGCATTTCGTTGTCATTGTTTGGTTTGTTAGTGTAGTTCTGTTGCTTTATTTCAAGTTTTATATTTTAATTAATTTTGGTTCTAATTTGAATTTCATTTTTTTCTTAATAATTTTGCTGTTTTAAGTTTGCTTTGTCGATTATATTTCATCGTTTGTGTTTACCGTACAACAGGCATTTTTCGCGCATTTTCCGTTTTGCTAATGTCGCTTTTGGCGAAAATCTTAAACTTGCGATTTGAGTTTTACAGTGCAAAAGTATTTATGTTGTCTGACGTACTCCTAGATGTATGCGATAGTTGTCCAAGCTGTAACCCCCCCCCCTCCCACCCTTAAAAAAAACTTTTTCCTAGCTGACCTTTGATTGCCTTCATCAATTTTTTTTCAAACGTTTTCCAGTTATCGTTTGTCAGTGTAAATGGTTCGGGGCCGAATATTATAAAATGACAATACTTTCTCTTTGTCTTTGAATGAGCTAAAAAGAAACGGGATGACTTAGTGTGACTCGTACCCTGTCGTCCTATTTTGTGTTTTATAGACACAAGAGGAACTGATTTGTTTAACACCCCCCCCCCCACACACACACACACTTTATACGGCTCCCTACTGGCACGCCATTTTTCAAGTTAGGAAATGTCCAGCGTTTGTTGAAAAGATAGTTTTCCTTTTTTTTGAACCAAAGAAAATCGAATAAAAACTATGATGAACTATGTTCCTGAACTGTGCAGAAAACATTATGTTTATTTTCAACGTCAGGTGGACGCGGCACCCCCCCCCCCCCTCCTTAAAAAAAAAGGATTAAAAAAATTAAAATTCACACATGCCGGGGAAAAGTGCCATTTCAGATCAGTCTTTTACTTTTTTTTTTGCTCAAAAAGAACGTTGGAAATATTCTTTGCTCAAAAAGACAAATTGGGATAGTAGTATAAATATTTAAAATTTCAAAGCTCAAAATAAATGGAATCATACGTTACTCTCAAAACTATGTTGATTTTAAGCTGACGAGCTGTAGCACACAGCCATCTTATTTTCAAGTGCATTTGTTGAACTCTAATTCCGTGCAGTGGAGAAACAAGTTCTAAGAAACCACTCCTTAGTGCTTTATGCCCAGGGATCGTGATGTGTGCGTTTTAGCACATGCAGCGCTCTGAAGAAAAACAAACAAACAAACAAACAAACAAACCCCCTCCCGACCCCCTTAAAAAAAGCAACAGCATATCAGCTCGATAGCTCTTGATACTGAAGTAATGGCATCCCCTGTTTATGTCTCAAATTTACAAAGTACCGCGTGACGGTTGCTTAAACATAGAATCTATATCTATTATCTACCTTGCTTTGTTAAAATATCTAAAGTGACATGCACCACTCCACCCCAATGCGACCCAATGCGACGTTTCTCTATAAACTTGTATTGTAATATCCAAGATCGGGTACGACTGACGTAAATTCGGTTCACTATTGAATGCACCATAATTTGACTTTATTTGGAACCAATGAACCGCAATGAGGGGACATTTGTGCATGCACTCCACTATAGACAGACTTGTATTTTGCTCTCCATTTGCTCTTCCACGACCAGCGCAACCAAGTTAAAAAAAAAATAGAGAGCACAAAGTGGCAACCATGACAGTTCTCAGTGTTATCTATACATATTATTTGTGAAAGTCCGTCACTTTCGCCGCTTAAAACTTCGGAATCACTTAACTTTCGAATTTGACAAAATTAATGGTGGTTCAGAATCATTTAAAGGGTGCACAGTTCTATTGAGGATCCTGAAGTCAGTGTAGTTTAATTTTCAGTTTTTCATTAGTTTCGTTTAGATCTAATCTTGGGAAAGTCCGTCTTCTAAGACGCCATTGTAAACAAGTGAGGTTTCCGTTTAATAGCCGTGTGCACTGTTTCCACACCTTTGAAAGTCTGGAGTGTACTATCACGAAAGCGGAATAGAGAATCAATCTAGATCTATACATCACTATATCTAAACCTTCTAACGTTTAGCATCTGTCAGGATTTCTTGCTCCATTCCAGTAGAGTGTAAATATAGCAGGCCAATGACTTTCAGTTGACGTTAATGCACCGATCATTCCTTTCATCGCAAGGGGACCCAGCTAGTATTATTATAATAATCAAGTCATCGCCGACTCCGCACCAATGCGACACAAACAAGCCCTATTGTGACAACCTTAAAATATTTTACTACATTATGTTAAACACGATAGTTCACCCCTCTCTCCGAGCTACTGAAAATATGTCTTCAAAATTGCCGGTGACCTCACCTGAGAAAAAGTGCGGACTTCGCGAACAGCTGACGATGGAAAGGAATAATAATAATATATATATATATCAGGGTAACATTGTTACTACGATCTCCTCGCAGTTTCATGCAATAAAACTTTTATGTATACATTTTATTGAATGAAGGAAAAAGCGAAACCGTTGTAGATCTAATGAAATAATTTATGGCATTGTTAGATCTTGATTTATCGATATCATTGCACACTGTTCTTTCATATCTGTAGGGTCACTGAGTGAACAGGGTTCCGTTTTGTTTTGGTAAGTGTTTTGCAGCGCTCACAACTGCATAATGTCATATGAGCGTGCAGGACACATTAAGCATTTTGTCAGTGTGATAGGAATTAATTTTGAATTTTGCCTGGGTGGCGGTCGAAGTCTACTGTTATCGATTTTGGACCACGAAGGGATCTTTGATGTGCGTAACTTGCACACACCTCCTCCGAGATTTTTTGGCCTTATCCGAGAAGGCTAGGAGCTAGATTTTACGTACCCTAAGATCAGGGGTATGCTATAGCTGAAAGACAGCAGAAAGAAGGAGTCAAGGGGCAGCAGTAGAAAGGCTGCAGAAAGAGCCAGGATCCCAAAGGAGGGTGCAAGGGGGTGGGCTGGGGTGGGGCAGTAAGTGGAGACGCAAAGAGACGACAGAACATGGTTTGAGAGCAGTAAAGGAGGTGAAAGGAAAAATATTTTAGAGAAACAAAATTGTCGTTGTTGTCAATTTTCGAACACGGGACCTATTGAAAGAGAAGCGAACTCTGGAACCTCTAGGCTACGAGAGCCCCCAGAGATCAGTGTGGCGTGGGTTTTGAGCTTGTTTATCATATTATTATTCAACAATAGTTAGTCAAGTTTTAAGATATTGCAAGTGTCAGGCACCCAGATGAATATATCCTAGCATACATGGTATTGGAGACTAAGTGGAAAAGGAAGGAGAGGCAGACCATCTGGAAATTAAAAATTCACAGTATAATTTATGTCACAAATGGTTCTGTGACCTTTCAAGAGTGTTTCCAGTTTAACCAGCATAGAGAGCCTAAAACACATTTAGACAATATTACGTAGCTGGGGGAACAAAGTGGGACCAAGACGACGCTGGATTGATTTTTGATTTGGTAAAGAACGCCCTTAGAGCATACGACTTGATCCTCCTCTGCTCCTTTTATTGACTTCTAGGTGGCAGATTATTTTCTCTCCTCCCGACACCGACCGATATCAACGACAGGAAAAAGTATAGTAACTGAAATAAGTCACTGAGAAAAAAAAAGAAGAAAAATGACAAACGAAAAAATGAAGCAGAGAGAGAGAGAGAGAGAGAGAGAGAGAGAGAGAGAGAGAGAGAGAGAGAGAGAGAGAGAGAGAGAGAGAGAGAGAGACAGACAGACAGACAGACAGACCGACAGAAACAGCCAGAGAGACAAGGAGACAGAGAGACAGAGACGAAACAGAGTTCTGCCTTATAATAATAATAATATAATGCATTTCCTCACGTTCCCGTGACCAATCAGTGCAATAATAATTGTGATGCATCGCGGCGAAACCAAGCACTCGTCAGAATATCAAAATCAAATAAATTGGTATTTTCCATCCTGTTGAGTAATTTTTATCGAGCTTTTTAATGCCTCAACACCTCAAGTCCTTTAAAAAACACATTTCTGAGCATTTTTCTGTAAAAATGTTTAAGTTTTCAATTTCTATGAATTCTCAAGCTCTGGAAATCACCAAACTTTGATGGCCATTTTCTCGCTAATTTTACCTCTGAAACCAGTTGACCCCTTTCAATCGCAAATTTCTCGATTTCTATTCAAGATAGATGGGTATCTTTTCAACAGAAATCAAGACGAATGAAAAAGTTTTCTGTAATGCCAGTAGCTGTATATGCCCAGAAATTGACGAGCGCCTGATTCCATCTCGTTGTGACAAAATTGTGTTTTCAGGTTCCATGACCAGCGGCTGCATAAACTTAACGAACGCAATGTGACGTCACTACTGGTCTCACTGAGGCACCCAAATGGACTGTACCAAGTCATCAACGAATACGCTGGAATCTACAACGGCCTTCGAAAAGCATTGAATGGTGAGCCGGCCTATCTATCTATCTATCTATCTATCTATCTATCTATCTATCTATCTATCTATCTATGGTAAAGCAAACAGATGGTTCATTTATCAGAGACATGCTGTGACAGACGCACCTTGTCATCAGATGCAGTCGGAAGAATTCAAACAGCTGCAAACGCATTTAGAGTGCTCAAGAAGAGAGTACAGACTCTGGTCTAGACTTGACATTAGACTGGCCACGAGGATCAAAGTAATGTATAACACAACTGTTCTCCCAGCGCTTTTATATTGCACTCACTGTATGTCCCTGTACCGCAGGCAATAAATCAAACGCAAAAAGGAATGCACCTCTGTTATTTAAGACAGCTGCTTGAAATTGGATGAGAGGAGAGGGTAGCAGAAGTAGTAACGAGCCAACGCTGAAAGCGTATATGCTGTGGCAACAGTCTTACAGCTGACTTACCAGATTCCAGTCTCTCATAGGATTAAAAAAATTGAAAGTTCTGTGAAGGAGGCATAAGAAGAGGCGGGCAGTTACAACGCCGAAAGGACGTTCTCAAACCCCACAAAGCTCCCTCAGAATTAAAACAGTTTTATCTCAAATTTTTTTCCCATTTTGAGTTAGATCTATTAAGACCAGGAGGTCAGAAACGAAATGTTTTATCTGATCTATCAAAAGATTATTCTGAGTTGTTATCACGATATTCAAAGAATTGCTTGTCATGCTGTGAAACACAAAACATTTTACGTCAAATTTTTCAAAACTAGGTACTGAGCAGAAACGTGACATAGAGGACCCAACCTTGATAAAAGATGCCGTGGATCTTCCATAATGGCGTGCGACAGCACAACGCCCCAGGGCTGCAGTGGGACGGACGGAGAAGGCAATACATGCACTGAAACTCTCACAACACTAGACACCGCGACCAGTGCAATATATCAGACTTTCAACCAGATCTTAAAAAATATGAGGAAAATACTGTAGATCTATAGCAAGCCTTGTGGGTCATGAACGTCTTGTCTGGCTTAAATAACAACCACATTCATCGTCCATATCGAAGGACAATGGAATAAGACAAATCTATCTATCTATCTATCTATCTATCTATCTATCTATCTATCTATCTATCTATCGATCTATCTATCTACCTATCTATGTATGTATGTATCTATCTATCGAATAAAAAAACCCACCGGAGTTCCCTCTAGTTTTCTAGATCTACATCAGAATTGTCGTTCTCTGTCCAGGTATGCCTCTGTCTGCAGAGGTTCAGGACCAGCTTGCCAACATAGCAGACGACGATGACGTCATAGGAGCAAGAAAGTCTCTCGTTCGTCTTCAAGTAAGAAACGATCGTGGACAAGCAGTTAAATGTACCAAGCCCAGAAGGCAATTTTTTCAGGAGAGAGATAAAACTGTTTAATTCTTTAAGCACTATTGTACCTGCATTATGTCTATTATTATGTTATGCTCTTGCTTTTATTTTCATCCATTATGGTTTGAATTACGACAAAATATTTCTTGAGCTCACTATGCAAACGATACTACGGATTATAAGATCGAAATATTAAGAAACAATTCAAAATTTTGGCCTCAGTACATTTGAACGGCTGACCCCAGTACCGAATAGAAAGAATGAAAACTAGATGAAATAAATCTACATTGTTCAGCCATTGTCATACAGATTTGATATTTCAAAACACACACACACACAACACACACACGCACACACACACACACACACACACACACACACACACACACACACACACGCGCGCACACACACACATACACACATATGCACTTATACGCATACTCTCTCTACTCTCTTTACCTTTCCCACACTTGTACACAGGCTCACATTTTCATTTACTTTTATTCTCACACAGACCCACAGTCATACACATGATATTATGATTATAAATGAACAATGCTAACAATGGTAATGTTTTAAGCTCTTAACATAGTAAGTATTACGCTGTTACGAGTCTATAAACTCCTAGGATAATTATTTAGAGTTTTACGGTACTTACAACACAAGTAAGTCATGTCAGAAAAGGGATGTTACTAAATAATGAGTAACGCACGGAGATAAGAAGAAGAAATAAGGATGATAGATGTTGGACTGAAAAGAAGGAACAAACCACACCAGAGCACCCGGAAAACACCCTCAGAATTAATAGTTATTGATATCGTTATGATTTCCATTTTGTGACTCTCCCCGTGTTTCGCGTGGGCTCCTCATAATCTTAAAAGTAAAGCAGGTCAGTAGATGCAATATCATTATTCCTGATGAAAAGAAACGCATAACGCCTCTGGAAGATAACGAGCGTGGGCCAGAATTTCTCAAGAATTTCTCAACAAAACGTTGACAAGTTATACGATCCACTAGTAGACGTCGTTTACTGACAGACTTTTATGCATATTAATGGGGCGGGGGCTATTCAAGTTACTACAAAGGTGTCATATTTCTAACGTACATTTCGATTTTTGCTCATTTGTAAATTTGTTTATAGAGGGTTCTCCAAAAGAAAGAAGACTAAGGATCGAAATCAGTTGAAATATATTGCTTTCAGAATGGTTTACATAGGTTTGGAAAAGGAATACATTTGAATGAACTCCTCTTTTAATCGATACATTCCTTAGAAGCGTGTACATTGTGGGTTGGCAACTTTTTTTGCCGACTCAGCCACACAGGAGCTTTGTCAAAGCCAGCTAGGCCATGGAAAAAACCAACAAGCCCCCC